AAGGTCACAGGATGCTCTTAGCTGCTACGACAGCAGGTGCCATGAAGTGGGGGAGGGGACATGCACAACAGCCACACACCTGTCCCTATGTGGGAATGACTAATTGCTAATGTTTATTGCCCATGTAGGCACTGGCCTGAGGGCTATGTTATTTATCTCTTTTGATCTTCATAAAACCCTGAGGGGGGGGGGCAAACCGGTTCTGAGTCCCACATGCTAATAGTTATGCCAGCTCAGGAGTTAAGAAACTTGGTCCCATCACACAGCCAGCTCAAGGTCTGGGACTCCAAAGCCTCTGGTCTCAAACTCAGACCGTGTTCTTCAAAGGACACAGCCCCATCCTTATGCCCGCCTTATCCCCTCCTCAGGCATCAGATCCTAGAGGAACTGCCCAGGCATGCTGATACCCAGTCTTCAGCAAGGACTCAAGCTGGACAAAAACAGAGCCTCAGTGCTGGGTCCCAGGACCTGACCTGCTGTGCCACCAGGTGGGTCTAACACAAAGGCAGATAGATGGTAGCAACACAGAACCAGCTCCAGGGTGCTCAGCTACGGCCAGCTGCAGGGGACCAAGGAATCCAGGGCCTCCTCTATTGCTGCTCAAGATGGCAGGTGCTGCCTGTGCCAGGCCTGGCCCCGCCCCATAGGCAGAGAGAAAGCAAAGTAGAAGAGACAGGAGGCGTGTTGACCAGGCCCAGCCCTAGAGCACAAAGGCGGAGCGGGTTTGTCTCAGCAATGCCGGCAGGCACAGTAAATGAAGGGCCTCTCTTCCAGCCAGTGCTCAGGCCCTCCCAAAATAGAGTCTACGCGGCAGGAAATGGGGCTTTAAATTTTTAAGCAGCAAAACTGTGGCCTGCATAGGCAGAAAGGAAAGCTGCGCGGCCTCATTCTCAGGGGCCCCTAGAGCTTTCTGGAACCATTTCCCAGCTCTGCCCGTCTCCCAAGGCCCCTTGGCTTGGGCCTCAGGCCCCTCGGAGCCCCGCCCCTTTGCTACAGTTCTGAATAATTAAAGGCTCAATTAGGCTCCTGTCTAGTTTGGTGTAAATAAATGTCCGTGGGATCTGTTAAATGTATTTTACTTGAACTCTTTTCAAATGATTTACTCTGGTGGCTAAAGGTGGCAAAACAGGCCAAGAAACCAACACACCCTCTACCCGTCTAGGGTGAGCTGGCTCCACAGACACCATGACGGAGCAGGGCCCAGGTCTCTTGCAGACGGGGACTGGCAACTCAGGAGTCATTTCAATTCCCAGGCTGCTTCCTGCCTCGAAGCTGAGTCCAGGAAAAAGAACTATTCTGCTCAAGGAGGTGGGAGGTCTGCAGTCATCCCAGCTCCAGCTGGAGAGGCCAGGTCCTGGCCGGGATTAATCTGGGCTCCAAAATCAGCCTGCCTTCCCCAGCTGGAGGGAAACCAAGGTGATGTCTGTCCTCAGGGCCTGTGTTTAAGTCACAAAGGACCTTTCACCCCACAGATTTCTTCGAACAGGTGAGGACTTGAGAATTCCAAGTCCGCTCAGTAGGGATAGTCCCAGCTTTCCTGGTGTGTGTGTGTGTGTGTGTGTGTGTGTGTGTGTGTGTGTGTGTGTGTGTGTTATGTGACCTCACTCTCTCTGTGTGGGAAGGGTTCACCACCTGGAAGCATCTTTTCTTGGGGGAGTGAGATGGGCAGGAAGAAAAGTCTCCTCATTTTTCCTTTCCCTCATGGTAGCACTCCAGGGACTTGTAGTAGTGAGGTTAGCTACAGAGTCTGGGGTCTCTGGGGGCAGCCTATAGGCACTCTTACTGAGAAACAGAAGCCAAACAGGAAGATAGCTGGTCCTATGACTCAGACTAGCTCCCTTTCCGACCAGCTGTGTGGCCTGGGGACATCAACTGAGTGACCAACGCCACCAGCTCTACTCTGATCACAATCAAATGAAATAAGACTCAAAATGGATGCATGGACTGCACACGACTGCCCTCCTGTTAGAAGCGTCCATGGTGGGGATGAATTGCCAGGTGTGACCACTCACCAATGGAGCAGAGGCATCGCCATGTACAGCCTGTGTGCCAGGCACCTGAAGTCTACGGTTTTCCTGGCAGCTTTGCTGAGCCCTTTGGACCAGACCCTGAGCATTGCTCAGAGGAGAAATGGCACGGGATGAAGGAGCCGTGCTTCTGGTCTTACCAACAAGCTCTTTCATGGAGCCCCCGGAGCCCAGGCAGCAGGTGTATTCATCCCCCATCAGGGTCCCCATGTTCTTTTCCATCTTCCTATCCAGGCAGCCATCTGCCCACTCATTCATTCACAAATATTGAGAGTGGGGCCATGCCAGGGAAGGCCTGGGGTGGGCCCTTCAGGCTGGCACACAGCACTCTGCATGTGTAAGCACACACACACACACACACACACACACACACACACACACACACACACCCTGCACAGACTCACCTTCTCCAGTAGCTGCCTCAGCTGTTTTGTGCGGGCATCCCGTGAACACATGGTCTGCTGGGGGGCGACCACCGTGCAGATACACCTGCCCTCACTGTCCTGGGCAGAGCTGTACACCTGCCAGCTCTCCTCGGGGTTGGTGGGCAACACCTGGAGGGGGCAGAGGGGAAGGGAATGGGAGAGAACAAGAGAATGGGGGTGAGAATGAGGGAGGCTTGTGCCTAGGTGCCAAGGGCAGAAGTAGGTCAGAGAGACACAATGCCTTAAAAGCCAAGTTCAGCCCTGGATGCTCAGAGTTTTGACATCTAACCAGATTAATGCTTGGGGAGGTGCGAGGGGCTGCAGATGTGCTAGGCTGGCTGAGGGGCCATATGAGAACCCAAGTGCCTAACATCTTAGGGAATCAGACAGACACTCTCTTTCCGCAGTAGGTACAGTCAAGCCTCGATCTGCTGGTCCCTAACACTTGAAGACAAGCACCATTGTTAACAGTCTCCGTCAGCACCTACGAACTGGGAGCAGCAATGGCCTAGAGCTGTGCCGTCTCCCCGAAAGCAGCCTGGCTAAGAGGCTGGCCTTCCAGCTCCATGCAGCTCCCACCCACCAGCCATTTGGTCGATGTCAACAAACATGTTGTGTAAGGGTCACCCCCAACCTCAGTCCTGAGGGTTTGCCCAAAGACCACCAGGGACCCAGAGCTGTGAGTGACTAGGTTCACCTTGCAGGTCTTCTATACCACCCATGACCCTGACCTTCAGAGACACAAGAGGGGCAATAGACACCAAGGCTCCTGCACACACCCCCATGCCCTCCTGCCCTCCTGCCCTCCTGCCATGGCAGCCTGCCCTCTGTCTCCAAATCTTTCCCTGGCATCCTGCTCTTCCCTGCTATTTTTAGATAGGATGGGGAGGAAGGCAGAGAAGCTACGGTAGTTATATACTTCATTCATCCCACTTCATCAGCTCAGGACATAGAAGCAGGCAAAGTCATTATCGGGGAAACTCATCTTGATTTGGTTGTTTTTTGGTTGTTTGGTTTTGGGGAACTTGCTCTGTAGACCAGGCTGGCCTCGAACTCACAGAGATCACCTGCCTCTGCTTCTTGAGTGCTGGGATTAAAGGTTTTCGACACCACTCCCGGCACTAGGGAAACTCAAAACAACAGGAGAGGTAGACCCAACAAGAATCATAGGTGTGTTTGTGTGGGGTCATACCACCAAGCCCTTGGAAGCAGAACTGGAGGAAAAAGGAGACTCGTCCTTTACCTCTCCTTTCCATTTAGAAGGTTAGGCCAGGACCCCTTTCCAGTAGCCCCTCACTGAAGGGTGGTCTCAGTTCAGCCTGCTCCAGCCACTATGGAAGTCAGCCCTACCCAGATCCTCCACCCCAAACCCTAGCCATTGCTTCCCTCCCTAGGCTGCTGATGACACGGAGATGCGATTTCCATTTCAGAGGCCGGTAGAGAGGGGTGGGTGAAGGCGCACCGGAGGAGGAGGTGGTGGTGGGGAGTCCAGTCCCGCCCAGCTCTTCTCAACCTCCTCTGGAGTGGATCCTTAGATCTTCGAATGGGGATGGGAAGAGAAGGGTGCCTTGGGATTTGGGGGGACTCAGATGAGACCACCGAGCTCTTATCTTCTGCCTTGGGCCCCTCTCTGGGCCAGTCCAGTCTGCCTTTTACAAAGTAGGGCGAGCTGAGTCCTGGCTGGACCTAGCCCACGAAAGGCTTTAAGCAGCATCTCCACCCCTTACTTGCTGAGTGACCTTGGCTAAGTCCCCAAGTCCCTAGCTTCGGTTTCCTAAGCTTCGCAAGGAAAGACTTCCTAATATTGGCGAACGAGGACTCTGGACTTTTGAACCCCTCCCACTACCACCCGAGCAGGTGTCCTCAAGCCCCTTGAGGGGACCGGGCGCAGGAAGCATCGCCCCGAGACGCCAGAGTGCGGGTGGCGACCGCAACTGGAGGCGCTGCTTAGCTGCAGCGCAGAGGGTGGGCTCGTGACCCCGGCCCCTGCATCCCTCCCTCCCCGGGTGACCCCATCCTGTGCCGCACCGCCTGGCCAGCCCGGGGCTCCGACCCAAGAGGAGGCAGGAGGGAGGAGGGGCCGCGAGGGCGAAAGGCGGGCTCACTTACGCCGGTGCTGCGGTCCAGCGTCCCGCCGCTGGCGGCCGAGAGCCGGGTGGTGTTGAGGCCCACCAGCGAGGGCAGGGTCTGGGACATCCAGTTGGTGATCATGGCCATGGTGCTTAGCACGACCCCGATCTTCAGCAGCGGCACCGACATCGCGCCTCGAGTGGCCTCCTGCGCCCGCGCCGCGTCGGCGCTGGCTCCCGCGCCCCGGGCAGCCTCAGGCGGC